AGAAGGACCCCTTTCCCGACATCCGTCCGGACCACCCTGGTGCCGCCTCCTGGAGCCTGAGAGGGTCCTTTCCCCTCTGTTGATTTTTTTTTTTTAAGACTTTATTTATTTCTTTGAGAGAATGAGAGAGATAGCACAAGAGGGGGGAGGGTCAGAGGGAGAAGCAGGCTCCTCGCCGAGCAGGGAGCCCGATGCGGGACTTGATCCCGGGACTCCAGGATCATGACCTGAGCTGAAGGTAGTTGCTTAACCAACTGAGCCACCCAGGCGCCCTCTGCTTTATTTCTTCTGGTTGATCTATCGCTGGCTTCCTGGACCTCCAAGCTTGAAATCTCCCCTGGCCCTGCCCTATTGCTCCTCTGCCCAGCTCCTCTGCAAATATAGAGGAATGGGTTAGAGAAACTTCCCGATCAAATTAAAAAACGATATAAAACAAACAATCGTTGGTTCAGGAGTTTAGTAACTGTAGCATAATGCCTCAGTGGTCCAATCGCTCTCATTGTTGCCTGTAAAATCCAAGCATCGGAAGCTCTAAGGGAGAAGCCCCCGGTCTTTGTGGTACACACACTGTTCACACTGTCAGTCGAAGGCAGGAGGTCTGAGAGCAGTGTGATGGGCAAAGATGGAACGTGGGCTCCGGGGTTGTTGGAGTCTTGGAGGATACAAGCCACAATTCCTCTGTGTGCACTGGTGACTGGTTAAACTGAAGCTTTCTGAGGTCAGGAAATGCGCCTTTCCTGCTCTCTCTCCGAACTCCAATGCCTCGGACACAGTAAGCACCCGATGATAAACAGATTGCCCCACAGAACGGGGGGTTAAGAGACGATGCTTTAAAATCCAACAATCCTGAATCCAAGCTCTTTTATTTCAGTTTTTCCTTTTCCTTTCTTTCTTTTTCTTTCTTTCTTTCTTTCTTTCTTTCTTTCTTTCTTTCTTTCTTTCTTTCTTTCTTCTTTCTTTCTTTTTCTTTCTTTCTTTTTCTTTTTTTTAAAGTAGGCTCCCTGCCTAGTGTGGAGCCCAATGTGGGGCTTGAACTCACAACCCTGAGATCAAGACCTGAGCTGAGATCAAGAGTCAGATGCTTCATCCACTGAGCCACCCAGGTGCCCCCAGTTTTTTTTTAGGCAAGTGTCCTAGCCTTTCTGAGCCTTGGGCACCTCATCTGTAAAGCAGGGATAATAATATCTGTCCCCCCCGCCCCCGCCCCCAGCATCTGTGAGGCTCCAAGGAGCTGGTCCATGGGAAGCCCTGGGCATTGTGCCTGGCACATAAGTCAGTGCTCAGTTAGAGGAGGTGTTTTATTCCTCTCACGTGTGCATGTGCAGGTCTCTGTGGGTGCGTGAGAGTTTTCTAGTCAAAGCCCAACTCAACGAGCAAATAAAATCAGCTCCATTTCAGAAAACAACCATGTGTAGGCATGGGGTTGAGCAGATTCCCTCCCTAGACACCCTTGGCCACTTCTTTCTATAACTGGAAAGACTTTGCCCAAATTTCCAGGAACTAACAGACTCTTGAACCCTGTCCAGAATGGGAGGAACCTCTGCACCTATAGAAGCTCTCGGTTGCAAGAGACCTGAAGTGGCCATGGCTGACCCTCCCCTTTTGCTTTGAGCCCGAGCACTCACTACACAGTTGGCATGGCTGGGTCTTCTGCTCTGGACGGTTGTGACTGACCCAGTCTCAGGAGCTACCAACACAAGAGAGACTCTGATGCTTTGTATTCAATCATCATTGAGAGCCTATTAGGAGAACAAGGTGCCATACGGCCACTTGAAAGGCTGAGTGTCTAGAAATGGCCATTACAGAGGAAAATCCTTCCGCTTGGCTGACTGTGGCCAGGTCTATGGCTTTAAAGCAATTGTCGCAGATGCTGAGTGAGGGGGCGCATTCATTTTTGTGCTCAATAAAGCCAGTTTTATTCAGGGAAGTGAATTGTTATCCCCTTGGGAAAGGTGAAGGTATAAAAACAGGTTGTAATTCTTAGAGAATCTAATTCCTCTGTAGCTGGAGACAGAGCGAGAAAGAGGGAGAGGGCTGGATGAAAGGGAGCTCTGTGGTCCTGGGAAGTCCTGGGGTAATTAGGCGCTTGGATTTCTCCTGGAGCTTCAGGATGGTGCCAGATGTGTCCAGGCCCTCTGTGCACCACCCTGCAGAGCTCACATCCCGAGTCCACCTCCTCCCCGCTGTGGCTGTTCCTCATGTCTGAGAATACATCAAAAGAGGCTTGATATTCATAACTGCTGTGAGTCATTTTCACATGGAGCTGTGGGGAGCTGCCTTCACCACAGCATGCTCTATTCAGCCCTTTGTAGGAGCAGCTGAGCTGAACCAATTCCCCATTATGGGCGAGAGTAGAAGCCTCCTGGGAGAACTGGATTTGGCCCAAGACCCCTGTGCAGAATAAAATGGGTCTTTTTTATTGAGAAATAGTTATTAAAACATCCTCCAGTCTTGCCTATGCATCTCCACCGCCCGCAGAGACAGCTCGGTGTGATCTCTTCCTTCCAAGAGAGTGTGGCCACCTCCAGGCCCTGCTGTGAGTGTCAGTAACATCGGAAACTTCCCTGTTTCTCTTGCTCTGAGGACAGAGAACACCAACAAGACTCCAACCACGACCACATTTCTTCCCAACCAGAGGAGGAAATTCTGCTTTCTCCTGCTGAGTGTGGCTATCGTTGGAAAAAGCATCGTGTGTGACACTCTTGGAGGGCTGGCGGAGGCTGGTGAAATTAAAGCCACAGGATCATAGAGCTGAAAGATGACTAACATCATCCAATTCTAGCCCCTCAAATTACAGATGAAAAAACGAGGCACAGAGAGGTTAAGGGACTTGCCTGAGGTCACACAGACAAGTGAGGATTTCTAGCATAGAGCCTCATTTTCCAAAACAGGGAGGGAAATAGTGGCAGGTGAATCTTGCTATTACTTCTCCACTGGAGACCGTGTCAGAGGTTTGACCCTATCGGAAAGGGATGGGGACCCGGAGACCTGAAGTTGTATCTCAGCTTTGCACCTCAGTTTCTCTGTGCGAAAAATGGCTGTATACAACCTTGGGTTGAGAGGGTGGGAGAATTAACTAACGAATGGTCAGGCTGAGCGGCTGGGGCTGGGACAAAGTGCGGGGAGTGGGAAAGTGCGTGGAATATGGAAATCAAATAGAGTAATATCTGCTCGCTCTCTGCCCTGGTCACAGTCTGTCAGGAGAAACCACTCTCCAAGTGAAAATATTTCATGGTCCAGCAGGACTGGACTGCTCACCTTTGCTTGGGGCAGCATGTTCCCCTATCTCTGTGCATTTGAATGCATTTTCATTATACCATACATCTTCAATTCTGCCAGAAAAGCAGGCAGGCCTTGCTCTTTAAAATGTCCGTAGCTCCCATTCCCATTTGGGGTTTGTGGTGAAAGGTCAGACTCCAGTGCTGTCTGGTGGTAATCGGGTTCTGAATAAATGAGGCCTCAGGGACTGCCAGGGAGACCAGCGAGCTGCCAAGTCGGGCGTGGAATGAATCTGGAGGCCACACAACGTCCCTTGGCAAGGTGGCCCTGGTGGGCTGGGCTGCTGGCGTTTACTGGAAACCTGCCCGGCAGCCCCCAAGGGCTGATGCTGCGATCCCAGAGGCCCACGTCCCTACATCAGTCTTCTCAACTGCTTTCTCCTGTTACTACCTTGTCAACAGTAGCATCCAAGACACAAAGGACAACTCTGCATGATGATGCAGTGAATGACTAGTTAGGTGCCTCCTGTTTAATAACCAGAGAAATATTGCTGTGCGGCATCTCTCCATATGCTCTGGCATCTGTGTCTGGCATGTAAGGGACTCATTTTCTTCACATATCTCATTAAAGATGTAAAGCAAAATGGAGGGGCTGCAAACTTCACCCTCCCGCCCAAACACCCCAGCCGCCTGGAACTCACTTTTCTTACCCTCTGCTGCCATCTAGTGGCCACTGGCCCCTTCTCTGCCTTGTCGTCTCCGACGTCTCTGTCGTGGGGTTGAAGCTCCCGCGCCTGGGGAGGCAGGAGTGAGGCGGTTATATAAACCACACAGCCAAAGGATCTCTTTGGCTCCTTGTTGTCGCAGAAGGACCCCTTTCCCGACATCCGTCCGGACCACCCTGGTGCCGCCTCCTGGAGCCTGAGAGGGTCCTTTCCCCTCTGTTGATTTTTTTTTTTTTTTTTTTTTTACGAATCTATCTTCTAGACTCTAAATGTTAAATCTTGAAAATCTGGCACATTGAACGTGTCTTGCCAAAAGCCGTCGTGAATTCTGTGACTCGGGGCAGACGGAGTCCCACCCCCCATGCTGACATTTCCCTCAACATCTTGAGGAATCCCCGGAGGCTGGGCTGGAGAAATCACAGTGACCCGGGGGAATTCCATGGGTCTTTTCAGCTGCCTGTCACCTACTTCCATGCTGTCCTTGCAGGTGGAAGCTTGCTTCTGTCCGGGTCCCACTCTCTCAACTCAGGGTCCCAGGTTCCCAAGACTGACCTTATTTGATATTGGCTCTGTTGCCCGTGATGGCACTGGAATGGGTTTTTAGCCCTTGTTCATCAGCTTGGGTCTTGGGCGGCTATGCTGGGATGTGTGGGTAGCTGTGAAACACTCCCCCAGATGGAGGACCCAGGGCAACACGCCACAGCTCATGAGAAGAGTGAGCGGAGAGCAGATAGGGCATGTGCCAGCTGCAGGGTTTTGGAACGGGCTGCAGGTGCCTGCGCATCACCGTGGGCTCCCGACTCGAGAGGAGGGTGACTGCATCTCTGGGCTGGGGACTGAAACACAGAGAGTGATGTTGCTCTTTGTCATCAGGCCAAGCGGTTAATACCCTTCTCTTTCAGCCTTGGCATGTGTTCATTAATTTCATTAATTGATTCATTCTTCCATACGTACTCAGCTCTAGAATATGCAGTGAAGTAGACACAAAAAGCAGCGTATGACACAGTCTCAACCTTTAAGGATCTTATTATCTAGAGAAGGAAGGAAGGAGCACAACAGTTAGAACAGTACTGATGGATTCTCTAAATGAGGACATCACTTACATAGGAAGTAGGGATTCCGAGGAGAGAAGGGTCGCTGGCGGTTACAGCTGGGGAGCACATCATGGAGGTAACTGATTCAAACTGCCCAAGGAATTGGGGGTGATGGTGACATGCTCTCTCAGGTGTGGTCTGCCTAGGTCCCCATAGCTAGGGATTCTGCTCCGGCGGCTAGCCACTCTCCCGGGGTCAGAAGACACAGGGAGACAAAGGGTGAATCTCCCAGGACCCCCCATTTATTGATCTGTAACAGATTTCTTCCCTTTCTCGACACTGCTGTTCATTCGTTGGGTTGGTGTGTCCTTCATTTATTCATTCAAGAAACACATACTGCTCTAGCCTGAGGGTTCTAGAAATCCACAAAAAGTTCTAAATTTTCACACCAGCTTGCCCCTGAACCAGAGACAAGCTAAAATCATTGTCACTTTTGTCCCCATCTTAGGTCACCTCATTGAAGTACCGGTCGGTTCCTTATTGCTTTTAGAAAGCTGCCCATGTGGTCGTCCCCCCCTGTTCTGCTCCCCCAGGAACACTTCAGGCAGAGATGCAGCCCCAGCTCTGCTGCTGTCTGCTCTCACAATCCTCCATACTCTCGTCTCTGGGGCTGACTCCGGGCCGGTTCGCAGGGCTTCCGGTTGGCAGGATGGACAGAAAGGACACTTCATGGGTCATGGGGAAACAGAAAGTCTGAAAATAAACAAAGAAGAGACCCTTTGATTTAGTCTTGGTTAAGAGTAAAATAGACTTTAGTTTGCAATGGTGTTTGATATGCCTTGTGAGGAAGAAGTCCTATTATGTCACATTTTCAAAAAGTCTGTGCTGCTAAGATAAAGATATTTACATTCCGTGACCACGGAGCTTGGTGAGAAGCGGCTGGTAAGAGACCAGGCAGTTGGGGGAAAGGTTTTATGTAATTTAAATTTACACAGGTTTGGCCTCTTCTTATGTTTACTGACAAGGAGCAAGAAGCTCTGATATCAACTCTCCAGGAATAGAACTTTTACTGCAAAGCCTTTGA